CCACTCCCCCTGCTTGTGTTCCTGCTCTCGCTGTCTCTCTCTCTGTCAAATAAATAAATAAAATCTTTAAAAAAAAAAAAAAAAGAAATACTCTCCCCATTCCCCTGAACTTTAGAGTTGAATATTTACTTCTCTCTGCTTTTGGTTTGTTTGTTTCAAAATTTTATTTAAATTCTAGTTGGGGTCACCTGGGTGGCTCATTTGGTTAAGTGTTCGACTCTTGATCTCAGCTCAGGCCTTGCTCTCAGTGGTGAGTTCAAGCCCTGCATTGGGCTCCATGCCCAGGGTGGAGCCTCCTTTAAAAAGAAAAAAAAAAATTATCTAGTTAGTTAACATATAGTGTAACATTGGTTTCAGGAGTCGAACTTAGTGATTCATCACTTATATACAACACCCAGTGCTCATCACAATAAGTGCCCTCCTTAATGCCCATCACTCCACTTCTCTGCTTTTTATGGAGGGACCTCAGGTTTTGGCATTTGAGAATCCCTGCTCTATAATGAAAAAGGTAATAGCAGGAATTTTGTTGAAATGGGCGAATGTGGTGGCTGTGAAGATGCACCTTGTACCTACAGGGGCACCAGCTGCTGGAATTCACCCTGCGTTTGCACCCAGGCCATGCTTCCCACGAGCCATGCCTAGCCAGCACCTGAGCAGGCAGCATATTTGAGCAAGCACGTTCTTGGGAGACTTGCAGCCTCCCCAGTGGTCTTGCTGAACTTCCCCGAAACTGCACAGTGGTCCAGGAAGCTGCCACCCGACCTCTCTTCCCTCTTTCCCGCAGGTCAGACCTGCATCATGTTGTGATGGCCCTTCTGACTCCTTCCTGCCTTCTCCCACAGCCATTTCCTCTGTTTTCCCCAGTAAAATCTGTGCATATTTCATCCCATTTAATCCCCTCTTGGCCTCTGCTGCTAACAAGGCTAGACCAACCAAGTGAGGTGGTCAAAGCAATCCCCAGAATAAAAGTGGCATCTGCTATTTTAATGCCAACAGTTTTTATAAGAGCTTGATATGCAGATTATATGAGCAGGTCAGTAAATATTTGCTTCTTACTTTTTTGCTTGTATACTGAAGATTTGCATCCTTCCCAAGTCTGGTATCTAGGTAAGTTGGTACTCTGTAATTCAGACCTCCTTATAAATTCTTTAATTGTACTAGAGATTTCTTTAAGTCAGCATTTGAGGTAAATTGACCATTAATTGGCCCTTGGAGCCTTTATCACATAGAGAATTAAACCTTTATGGTTTTCAACCTGATTATAAATGATAAATGGAATAAGTACACAGACAGTTTTGATTATATCAGATGCCACCTACATTTAAATGCATCATTTCGAAAACAGCCAACTCTTTCAGCTCTTTTGTAAATTAGGGATCTTTGCTTTATTTCGTATATGTTACATATTTTTAAATTCTTGCTTTTTTGTTTGTATTTAAGCTCTGTATGAAAAAGCTGATATTAAGGTGCCTGAAGACAAGAAGAAACACCTCCTTATTGGTGTGTCCTCAGATCGAGGGCTCTGTGGTGCTATTCATTCCTCGATTGCTAAACAGATGAAAAGTGAGGCAGCCACGCTCACAGCAGCTGGGAAAGAAGTCATGCTTGTTGGAATTGGTGATAAAATCAGGGGTATACTTCATAGGTAATTTAAATAGATACTGTTTATGTGTAAATGGGTGCAAGCATGAGTAAGTGGGAGTATCTTTGATAGTTTATTTCAGCAAGGTGTGTCTTTTTTTGGTTACCTGTTTTTATACCCATAGAGAGGGTTTTGTTTTGTTTTTGTTTTTTTAGGACAATCAGAATATATAGATTTCTTCTGTTTTTTTACTTGTGTTTCTCCTTCATCCAACCCATGAGTGGAACACAGTAGGAATATCAAAAGCTAGTTGCCATTTTAAACAAACAAGGACTCTGAAGAGCTAGCACAGCCTGGAAATGTCAGAAGTGAACAGCAGTTAATTGAGATGGGAAGAAGAGAAATCAAGGCATAGAGAAATATAACACAAGAGAGGCCTGATTATTAGTCCTTAGTTCTTGGCAGCCACTAAATAATCATAATAATGGATGGAACAACTCCATTCAGTGAACACCCCCCTCCCCCCCCAAAAAAAGCTTGATCCAAAGTGATAATACTTTCCCTCGTTCCCTGTGTTCGGCAGAAGTATTCCTTTAAACTACTCTGTGTGATCTGATTCTCTTGTAGGACTCACTCTGACCAGTTTCTGGTGTCCTTCAAAGAAGTAGGAAGAAAACCTCCTACTTTTGGGGATGCGTCCGCTATTGCCCTTGAACTGCTAAATTCCGGATATGAATTTGATGAAGGGTCTATCATCTTTAATCAGTTCAGGCAAGAAAAATTTAGAAATCGAAGCTTTTTCATGCTTGTGTTCGTCCTTTAAAATAAGTAAATGCTTACTTAACAGTTTATTATTTTGAGATTGACATTTGCTCGTATAATTTCTAGGTCTGTCATCTCCTACAAGACAGAAGAAAAGCCCATCTTTTCCCTTGAAACTGTTGCAAGTGCTGGTAAGTAGTTTTTGCAGGAAAAGGATTTTTCTGTGTAGAAAGCAGAGGTTTATACCTTTGGGAAAATAGTGTTTGTCAGGATGGCCTGTTTCAGCAGTAACAGAACCGTGTTGGGCTTTCTCACCGTCTGTCAGTGGCTTCCATGATCTCTTGATCCATTCATTAATGACTGACTCCATTCCTTCATTAAGAGAACATAAATAAATAAATGATTAGACGTGTTTTCTGTTCTCAGAGATTGAAGAGCCTAGCTAGAATTGGCTTTGCAGTCTCTGTCTGGGCACTCTCCCGAAGCACAGTATATTCAGCAGCTCTGGAGTCGTGACGTGAACAGTCCTCACAACTGATTTGCGTTGACCCACTCAGTTCTCTTGTCTTACTGTTTGAGTAACGTCATCATTGCTCAGGGTAGCATCATAGAAATAATATTCTGGAACCGATTTTATTTTCCTGAGGCATTTTCCCCTTCTGTACATAGTATTTCCTGTATTAAGATGTATACTTTTTTAACATTTTAATGTCTCTGAAGTTGGGATGTTTCTGCCAGTCAATGGCATGCCATTTTTAATTGTTGTTATTTTCTTTCTTAATGGTCTAAAATCGGGGTTATCATCCATAGCATTTTAAGTTTGATGAAGTACAATACTTTAGCACTTTACCCTAATAAATGAAGGTTGAGGTGTGCCACTAAATTTCTGCATTGTAATCAATAAGATGTAAGTCGGTCTCTGATTCCTGACCCCCTCTTCTGTATTCCATTTCCCTCTCATTTACCTGATGGACACCTGCAGATTTCTCCAATAATCAAATGGCTAATTTGGGATTTTTGTATTCCACTAAACGAGTTTCAGTTTTTTCATTCATTCTTTTATTTTTTAAAAAAATATTTATTGAGTATTTGCTGACATTGTGCCAGGCACTCTGTTTGATGCTATCCAGAGGATCTCATGACCATGAAATGCAGAGAAGTTATTTTAATTGTTCACTTCTTAGGTTTTAGTAAGTTAAGCATTTACAGTAGAATATCAAATGCTTTGTTTACACATTATATTTTGGTGAAAACCTATAATCTATAGTGTGGAAATAGATGAAACTTTCAGAACTGAATGTTTTAACCTATCTTACATTGACTTCTGCTCTGTAATTATTAAGGGTTTTTATACTGGTAAGCTGTTTTTGTTTAATCCCTCTTTGCACTATGTAACTTCAAAGAAATTTATGACTTGTTCTTTCAGAGAGCATGAGTATCTATGATGATATTGATGCTGACGTGCTGCAGAATTACCAAGAATACAATCTGGCCAGCATCATCTACTATTCTCTAAAGGAATCCACCACGAGTGAGCAAAGTGCCAGGATGACGGCCATGGACAACGCTAGCAAGAACGCTTGTAAGCACACAGTGGATCTCTTCTGAAAGCGTTATTCTCTTGCTGAGAGTAGCATGAGGACCTTTCCATCAAAAACATTACTATCCCTTGAGTAGACCAGGAAACAAGAGAACAAGGATCTAGTCCCAGTCCTCAGTTCTCTTGTCTTACTGTTTGAGTAAGACACTGATTCTGCCACTGATTCTATGACATTTTTGACCAATGACCATCTCTTTCCTTGAATTTTTCTGTCTCAAAAGACAGACAAATAATCATCTCTGCCTTTAAGGAAGTATATCTCACTTGGTAGGCAGTAAATTTGCAAGTACTTTGAAAAGGTATCTATGGAAGAGGTAAAAATACCTTTGTGAAATTTTTTGAGAGGCCAGGTTTGGTACCCAAAAATACATAAAAATTCTTATTTTTAAATTAAGCAACATACATCTCTGAATACATTAAGGAATGAGTTATTCTTTCGTAGTGTGAGATAGTGTTGTCTAATCCCTTTGTTTTGTTTGTTTGTAGCCGAGATGATTGACAAACTGACCTTGACGTTCAACCGCACCCGCCAGGCTGTCATCACGAAAGAGTTGATTGAAATCATCTCCGGCGCAGCAGCTCTGTAAGTAGCAGCAGATTGCCTCCAGACACTTTTCCTCCTCTCTTCCATGTCTGCTGGCTTAACGTGACGATGTTTCAGTTTCACTTTTGTTGTGCTAAAGGTGAAATGATCTGTTGCCTAACCTTGTAATCTACCTTAAGGATATAAAGATTTGGTGAAAATGAGATCTCTGGTTTCTTCTGCTTCTTTCAAGCTGAAACCTTTGGGCTTAGTTTCTTCTTTTAGAAATCAGTATATTGTTAGCTCTCACTTTCCTAAAACATTAGGAATAAAGATGTAAATAATTTAGTATCATTTATAAAATCTGTCTTTGGAACTTAAAACATTACAAACCAAGCTTTCCAACTATAGGACTGGTTTTGGGTTTGGTTTCACTTAAATCTTGGGTTTTTTGGTAAATCTTGGTCAAAATTGGTTCTTTACTTACTAAATTTTCTATGTTAGTACCATATGATAATGTAGCATTTTCCTCAAGAAAATTTCTTGGTTGTCTAGAAATGTTAAGGTTGGGGTGCCTGGGTGGCTCAGTCATTAAGCGTCTGCCTTCGGCTCGGGTTGTGGTCCCAGGGTCCTGGGATCGAGCCCCACATCAGGCTCCCTGCTCGGTGGGAAGCCTGCTTCCCCCTCTCCCACTCCCCCTGCTTGTGTTCCCTCTCTCGCTATGTCTCTGTCAAATAAATAAATAAAATCTTAAAAAAAAGAAATGTTAAGGTTTATGAAACCAGGGTTGAGAAAATGGGGAGTCTATTTTTAAAATGACTAAACTGAACCCCCACCGTGTGTCAAGTTCAGTGCTAGGAAGTGTCAAAGGATGTGACCAAGGCTTTGCTGTTGTAACAGGATAACAAAAATATGTAGGTAATTGTGATGAGAGGTAAATGTATAGTAAGTTATCTTTGACTCTTCTTTCTCACCTCCTCCTAATTGGTCACTAAGTTCTGTAAATTTTACCTTGTTAATATCCCTTGACTCTTTCCCCTTTATGCCCACCTAATGCAGATCCTTGTCATTTCTCTCCTGAATTAATCAGGATATCAAGTGCCCCTTAATGTGTCAGACCCTGTGCTAGACACTGAGGATGTAGTAGGGACAGTATTTGCCCTCAGAGAGCTCACAGCCTCCACAGGGAAACTCTTTTCCTCTTTTCTAATTATCTTAGAAATTGCAGGAGAAAAGAGGGTCAGCGTACTATGGCTCAGAGCCAAGAGCAGTTTTGACATTTTGAAAGGGTTATTTTGTTTAAAAAAAGAGACAGTATGTGACTCACAAAGCCTACAATATTTACTGTCTGGCCTTGCAACAGGCTGTTACAAGGAAAAGAATAGAATCCATTCTCTTACATAATCATCCTGCAGAACACCTTAGCTTGAGATAATGTGATCCTGTGTTTTCTGGCCACCAACACTCTCTAGTCTAGTCTTAACCACCACGTCTCACTTCCCCTTGAACTTCAGCCGCATTGATGTACTTCAGTTCTACAAACACGTCATGTGCTTTTGCCTGAAATGCCATTCTTTTCTTCCTTTTGCACCCTGGATTCTTCATCTGATAGACAGACTTCCATTTCTCTCTCTCCTGAATTGAGAGAAGCCTTTCTTCCAGGAAGCCTTCCTTCACCATTCGGGTGGAGCACCCTTTAGCATCCTGTGCTTCCCCTTTTCAGCATTTACACTATTTTATTAGGAATTGCCTTTTTATTTGCCGGTACTCCTGTGGCTTGGGAGGGACTGTGTCTTACTTTTGTAGCCCTACCACCTGGCACATACTTCCTCGGTAAATACTTGTTGAGCGAATGAGTGATGTGCCCTAAGAGGTGGAAATTCAGAAGAGGGAGAGATAACATTTCAGTGGGTGTGTGAAAATGTGGATCCATGTTTGAGAATCAGGGATAGATAGGTTCGTCACTAAGGTGAAATTTAAATTGGGTATTAAGTAATTCCTTAAATACTTAAGGAAGTATTATCTCCCCAGGATAGAAACTGGGCAGAATGCCAAAGAGACACATAAAACTGATGGAGACCATTGTATAAGTTGTCAGTCAGATCCATCAGCTTTGCTAGCCCAGGCGTTCTTGTCTTAGTTTGCTTTCCAAGCATGACTTTGTTAAGACTAACCCATCTCTCAGTCTAGTCACTAATGTTGTGTTAGCATCAGAGAGTACAGTGCAATGATGAATGGCCCTGCCACTTCCTAGCATGATAAACTTGGCTGTGATACTCTTTCTGTGACTCAGTTTTGTCCTATAACACGGGGGCTAAGGCGAGGATTACATAAGCATATTATTCGTTCTCTTCCTTGCTGTATGTCCTACTGCTAATGCTAAGCTGTTTTCTTCTTGGGTGGTAAGTGTGAGGGGGCCTGGGGGAGAAAGCTGCATTCTGAAGGTTCTAGGGACTGTGATCCAGGGAACCAAGGATCCTGTTTTGCTCTTGAAAAAGGAATGCTGGGAATAAAACGCGAGGAGACAGCATCTGCAGTATTGAGGACTGCCCTCTTCCTTGACTAGAAATATGGGAAACCTGGCTAAAAAGGAGCAAAACCAGAGGAAATGAGGAGAGGGAGATTGGGACATAAAAACTGAGAATCAGAAATTGACTATTAAATTTTGGCTCTCTAGAAAAGTAGTCTAAATCCTTTAGGGTTGGCTGTGCAGTCCAAGCTTGGAGTGTGTATATGAGTGGATTGCATGCTCTGTAACCTATCAATTATTCTGGTTAAAACTTTACTATTTAATACAAACACATTTGACTCCTTAGTAATACACTGTGTGCTATTTATCGGGAAAGTAGTGGCTTCAATTACACTTACGTAGTCTTGCCTTCTTGCATCAACATGGTTTTATTGTTCCAACCAGAATGAAATTAGTAACTTTTTATAACAGGCATCGGATCTGTTTTAAAGGAATAGTTGGTAACTAATTTACATGATTTCCTCAAGATACCGAGTGTGGAAACGGATGTTTTTAGTTGGAAATGATACCTGATTAACTAGCATGGATTGCTTCTTGACTGGCTTGTTTTGTCTTTTTTTCTAACATAATAACCAGGGATTAATGAAAACCAAGTTTCATCCTCAGACAAGAGGTAAAGTGGCAATATTTCACACTCTCTCCCCTAACCCCACCAGAAAGAAATCTAGCTAGATACGATTGACACTGATTAAGCAAGTGAAACAGATTCTCTGAGATTTAGATTTTGGCCCATTTATAGTAGCTGCCAGCTTGTGGTAGCATATGGGTAATGCCAGGCACTTTTTTTTTTTGATTTATTAAATAAACTTTACGGATAGAGAATTAGCATTATTTTGAAATATTAAATATAGACTGGTGGTTCTCAAACTTGATGGTCTCAGGACCCCTTCATCTCTGACATAATAGAAGAGAGCTAGATTCTCATTTGTTTCTGTATTCATTCTGTCCTGATAGTACATGTCATTTAGCCCTGGAAAATGCTACCATGTACTCTTGAGAATGAGTAAAACAGGCAAATAAGAAAGTAGTTTGCCTTCGTGGACCCCGTGGAAAAGTCCCTAGACCAAAATTTGAGAACAACTAGTATATAGTAACATTTTATTGTGTAAAGTCAGTTCTTTAAACCCCACTTAAATAGGTATTGTCTCTTGACATCATTATTTTTCCCTCCAAAACTGACTTTTATTTGTTCTGTTCTTTGTTTTTCAGATAAAGAAGGAAAATTCAGCCAGCTGATTTTATTTTTAGCTTACTGTTGTCCTTGTCAGAAGAAATTGTTGGTCCATTGTTTAAACTACTAAAGACAGCAAGAGGTTTGTAAATTATCTTACAATAAACAACTTACCGAAAGAAAATCACTGTCTTTTCTTATTATATAGGAACAGTAGTTAATAGTTTTCAAAGTGGGATGTTAAAAGTACTTACAAATATTGACCTGCTACTGCTAAAATTTTTTGGTAAGAAGATAATCTAAGAGCCTCTGCTGATTTTACAGTTCCAGAACACCCTTCGCAAGTCCAGAGTATTTGGGGTTGGGGGGAAGGAAGAGGCAGCAGGCCACAAGCTAGCCCAGGCTTTCATTCTTCTGCTCTTTCAAAAAGAACATCCAACAAAATGAAGTAAAAATGCTATTGGAGTCATTTGCTCTTTCTCATCTATGGGATATAGAATTCCAGGCATATACTTACTTTAAATTTTAAATATCAGGGCACCTGAGTGGCTCAGTTGGGTAAGTGACTGCCTTCGGCTCAGGTCATGATCTCAGGGTCCTGGGACCGAGCCCCCCGTTGGGCTCTCTGCTCAGTGGGAGTCTGCTTCTCCCTCTCTGTGATCTCTTTCACACTCGCTCTCTCAAATAAATAAATAAAATCTTCAATAAATAAATAAATAAAATTTAAGTATCTTTTCCAAGCACTGAGAAATCTTTCAGTATGATAATTCATTCCATATTCACATTTAGATAACCATTAAGATTGGATGCCTAACCTGATTATGCACAAGTTGGCTGTGCCAAAATGTCAGGGTTTTCCTATTTGTTTAAAATAGGGAAATTATTTTTTTAATTACAAAAGTAATATATAAATTACAAAAAGAACTATAAAAAAATAATATATAAAAATATAGGGGCGCCTGGGTGGCTCAGTAATAAGCGTCCGCCTTCAGCTCAGGTCATGATCCCGGGGTCCTGGGATCGAGCCCCGCATCGGGCTCCCTGCTCCGTGGAAGGACTGCCTCTCCCTCTCCCACTCCCCCTGCTTGTGTTACCTCTCTCGCTGTCTGTCTCGCTGTCAAATAAATAAAAACTTTTAAGTACATATATATATATAATATACCCATTCTCATTTAACAATTTGTATGCTGCTCTTGACTTTTAAAAACCATTAAATACATCTATTTAGAAAGATTTCTTCAAATGCTTTATTATTTTGCCAACAACTATTTTCACAAAAATGAAGTGAATGGTAAGTAATATAAAAATTGATGAGCAACCACAAGCCTGTAAGGAGCAGTACTGCCTTCTTACAAGAAGGCTGCGGAAGAGAAACTGAACAGCACCCAGGGTCCTTTTCTAGCTTCCCTGAGCCTTTACAGGAATCACTTGATGGGTCGATGAATGAGGCTGAGGCATCGGGCAGACACGTACGTGTGTTCAAACTACTAGATCACCTTCAGGAATGTTAGCGAGGAATGGGGCTAGGTGGCGTTTTTTATCTTGCTTCTAAACACGTTGGCCCATCTCCAGTTTTGAGGACAACAGAATACTTCCATGAGGGTGAACTGCATATTCTAGACAACACAGCAGGAAGAAAAGCAGGAATGTAAGCACATTGTCGAGTAAAAATCTGTCAGGCTCAACGTGACAGACTCAGAGGTTCAGAAGAGAGGACAACAGTTGTGGGGGCCTCATGGTGCCAGCCCTCCGTTTGTCTCTGGAGTATGGACGTTCTGGTCTATCGGTGCTGTGTCAGGTGCCTCACTCTCCTGGGTTGGAGCTCACTTCCTGTGTCACACTTTTCCCTCTCTGATGTTTTGGTGGTGTACATCTTCCAGGTAAATAGGTAAACCTTTTAAGAGCTTGCATATCTTAAAATACCTATTCTATGACGTTTTCGTGGAGACCCCGCTCAACCCTTACTGGTGGTGTGATCTTGGGCAAGTGACTTATTCTTTCAGTCTTAACATCTGTGAAATGGAGATGAAAATAGTACTTCATAGGGTTGTTAGGAAAATCAAATGAGCTAATGCTTGCCAAATACTTAGACTCTGATACAGGGTGAGTGCTGAATACAAAGTGATGCCCCCAGTGTGCTTGGGGCCCCCTAGGCCTGTGCTGTAACCCCCTCAGCTGGGTTCTTTCATCCCGGTCCCCAGCACTTCCACGTTCCACGTTCCACTGGGACGGGATGGTAAGGACCAGGGGTCCTTGGGTGAGTCAGCACTCTGCTTTCAGGATGAAAGTTCAGTCCGCAGGCCTTGGGTCCTACTGGTGTGTCAACAGACGGTGGATAGCAGCCACCCCTTGTCCCCGCTGCTGCAGCTCTTGGAGGAGGTGCTTGTCTCCTTACCACCACTCAAATCCGATTCTCTCAGAATAACACCTTCACTGAGAGAAGACACGTGTGGTAAAATTCACTGTTTTAAAGTGCATAATTTGGGTTTTTAGTATAGACAGTTGTGCTCTAATTCTACACGTTATTGCAAGATGAATTGTTCTAGAAGGCATACGTTTATTGAGCACTGACTGCCTGCTAGATACGATGTTGTATACTGGGCACTGATTAGTAATTGAGGTGAACTCCTGAAGTGTACAGCCAAGAACAGAAAGAACGATGAGTTTCATTTGGGGCATCCATCAAACACTAATTAAATGAGCTGTAGAAGGGATATCCAGATAGACATTAGTTGTTGAATAGACGCAGTTAGTTACACTAGTCTGAAACTTGGGAAAAATTTAGAGTAAACCATTATGTTAAGGAGTCATCTTTATATAACCATGAAAATTACTGGAGTGAAGCATATAAAAAGAGAACAAATACTTAAAAATTAGGCAAAGGCATTAGAGGAGAAAGCAAATATTTGCTATAATTGAAATCAGGGTTCTTACTTTGGGAGGAGGGAGATATAAATATGAAATGGGAGGAGGTAAAGAATATGGAGTTAGGGGTTTGAATCAGGCATCAGTATGTACTTCAGACTTTTGGAATATTCATATTTTCTAGTTTTCTCCACCAAAAGGTCCCTGAAGCAATGACACCCCAGTAATAATGAAGGTCAGCTAGAGCCCATATCTTGGTTTCTAAATAGCGAACCAGAGCCCCTTAGAGAGATGGCTAATTCTAAGTCTAGGGCAGGGAAGAGCATAAGGTGAGCCTGGGAAAATCTTGTGCCACCAAGTATGGAAACACTCAGTGAATGACAGAGGCATATTAAAAGCACACAGCAACTGGCCTGAAAGGACTCCTGCTGGCCAAATACAGGATAATTTAAGCAGCAAAAGAATAATAATGTTAAGAGATTCTAGCTCACTGGATAAAAAGCATGTCTGACTCCATACTAACATCATACTAGAAAAAATGAGGGAACTTTCTAGAACGTCTGCTAAGAAAGGTAGGAAAAAACGCTCAGATTAGAAAAATCAACGCTTAATAACTACCAGAGTAATGACTGACTGACTCAGTAAGAGATCAGACATGGATGCTCATAAAACCACAGTGGCGAAAGGTTGTGGAGAAGCAGGTTATTCAAATCGGCTCAAAGTATCACCTTACGGATTACTTATTAATCTCAAAGTTAAAAAAAAAAAAAAAGGATACCTTACAATGGTGACTGGTAGATACCTAACCTTTACAAATGACCAAACTTTGTCACTAGTGATGGCACAACATGACCCTTGCTGTTAACCTGTGTAGGAATATTGTTGCCAAAAATGTTTAGCTTGAACCTAATCAGGTGAGAAAACAATCAAAGATTGCAAGACATTCTATAAAATAACTGTCCTAAAAAACAAAACAAAACAAAACTCCTAGACTTTGCAAAAATGTCATAAAAGACCAAAAAAATAAAAGCCCTACAAACAACGGGGCGGGGCAGGGGGGAGTGCTGATCTTATTAAAAAAGACTATAGAGATGTCAATGAAATGCAAGGAGGGATTCTTAGATTATGGATTGAAAAATTAAAAAGCTAAAAGGCATTTGGGGACCATGGGAAGATCTGAATACCCACTGGATACTGGGTAATACTACTGTATCACTCTTGAGTCTGTTGTGTGTGACAGTGGTATTATGGTGTAGCAGAAGGTGTGATGCTCCTCCCAGATCCTCCCGCCTCCCCCCCACCCACCCACAGCAGGACTTAGGGGTGTGTCTCCCGAGCTTCTGGAACTGTGTCAGGACACAGCCCTCAGCACTTAACCCTCTTTGGAATCCTCAGCTGGAGACTGCCCTGCCCCAAATCACAGCCCCCTCCCTCCTGGGCAGCCCACACCCAGTGCCTGCTCAGTGTGGTAATATAAAGCCAGTCCCCCTTGTCTGAACTCACAGGATGTCTCCCTTCCCCCACCCCCACCTGCTTTCCTTCCCTGGGTCCTGATCCCAAGAGCACTCCTATAGACTGATCTCCATCTCAGAGGCTGCTTCCTGGAGAGTCTCACTTGGGGCAATTTTTTTTTTTAAGATTTTATTTATTTGACAGAAAGCGAGAGAGGGAACACAAGCAGGGGGAGTGGGAGAGGGAGAAGCAGGCTTCCCGCTGAGCAGGGAGCCCAGATGCCAGAACTCTGGGATCATGACCTGAGCTGAAGGCAGATGCTTAATGACTGAACCATCCAGGCACCCCATCACTTGGGGCAGTTTGTATTGGAAGGGGTGGAGGCAGTAGATACTAAGACAGGAGGATTTTAGGAGCTGGGTCAGCCACCTGGCTGGCCCTGAGGACCTCAGCACTGGTGGTAGATGGAGCATGATAAGCCCCTGGCACAAGGTAGGTAGTTCCAGAATGTGCAGGTTGTAAAACTTTTACCAGGGGTGAACTAGGGCGGTATAAAGTGGAAACAAGCTGGTATGAGGTATTAGTGTTCAGATATTCAAGCAAAGTGGGGACAGTAGAACTGTAAAATAATACAGGCCAAAAGGGCTGTACTTCGCTGTGTATTAGTCAGAAGCCACGTGAATGAACTCACGATAAGAGAAGTTAAGAGGTGGGGGAGGAAGTCACCTGGTGAGTTTTAGAAATGGTTCCCGGAACAAGGGTGGGTGAAACAGACAGATGGGCAGCCGATAAGTGGGCTCCTCAATCTGTACCATCAAAATAATTCACGGATAGACAACTAGGTGGCTGAGGACGGTCGCCCCAATGAGCAGCCATGATTCTTTACCCAACGTCTGGATCCGAGCCAATTTTCAGACAGAAACTCTTTTAAGTCTTTAGGAAGAAGAACTCCACACCAAATGGAGAGGATAATGATTTCCCTACTCCTCTGGCAAAGGAACCAACAATCACTTACTCAAGTAACCACCCACTGGAGAAAGGAAATACTCAAACATTTTAAGGATTTCAATTCCCTGATCCCCCAATGTGTAGTTACATTAGACATACAGGGAAGTTGGCACAACCTCCACACTGATTCCTTGGCCTGCGGGGTCAGAACTATGGTAGCAGGGAGGCTGAAACAAGCTCTTGAGATTGGTCCTGTAGCTCAGGGAGAAGGGGAAGGGAGAAATTAGTGGCATCCTTAAGGACTCAAAGAATGCAGGTCCAGTGGTCCCCATTGTATCTCCATGTATCATTTGACAATTTTGGCCCCTACAAATGTAACTCTCAGTGACCCACCTGTGAAACTGTTCTTGTCCCTGCAACTCTGGCTCCTCCAGGTTGATAGTTCTAATTTGCAAAAGGGGGAATGCTTTCACCACGGGACACACAGGAGTCCCACTGAAATATTAGCTACAGTTGCCAGTTGGGCACTTCAGCCAGGGGTCAGCATGCAGAAAGAGAAGTCATTGTGCAGGTAGGAGTAACTGACTCCGGTCATTAGGAGCCCACGCTGTAGTTACACAGTGGGCAGCAAGGAGAGATGGGTGGCACCCAAGTGGTCTGGCTGGGTGTCTCTTGGAACTCTCTTGCCCAATGTTGCTGGACCATGGACAGGTTCAGCAGCCACTGGAACACTCCTTAATAAACCTTCTGCAGGCTGATCTCCATCCCAGAAATAACTTCCTGGGGAATATCCTTGCTTTGAGGAGATACATACTGAAGTGTTTCTTTTCTTTTCTTTTTTTTTTTTTAAAGATTTTATTTATTTATTTGACAGAGAGAGACACAGCGAGAGAGGGAACACAAGCAGGGGGAGTGGGAGAGGGAGAAGCAGGCCTCCCACGGAGCAGGGATCCCGATGCGGGGCTCGATCCCAGGACCCCAAGATCATGACCCGAGCCAAAGGCAGACTCTTAACCAACTGAGTCACCCAGGCGCCCCAGTGTTTCTGAGTTAAGTGTGATGAAGTCTGCAACTTACTCTCAAACCGTTCTGAAAAAAAAGTATGTGTATATACGTATAGAGTAAATGTAACAAAGCATTAACAATTGATGAATCTAGGTGAAGTATATGCCTGTGCTTACACTTTTCCATTTCAACTTTGCTGTAGGTTTGAAATTTTCTGAAATAACAGATTAAGGAGTTGAACACACACACAGAGGCAAATGAAGAAGGGTCTAATATAATACTGAAGGGACAGCAAGATAATAAGGTATTGTGAAATCCAAGGTATAAGAGAGTTTCAAAATTAAGGTAGTGTTCAACAGTAACAAATGGCTACCAAATGGTCAAGTAAGGTTAGGACTAAAAGTCCTAAGGCTAAAACTCCCATAGAGTTTGCACCCCAAAGGTCCCCGATAATCTTGAGGACTACAAGTGTCACTGAAGAAAATATTATAGGCACCCCACCACGGAGCACCATCTCTTCAGAACTGTCATTTGGCTGAAGCACCACATTTTCAGTTCTACTGTGGTTTTGACTTTTAAAAATTGAGTATCTATTATGTTCACAGTTCTGGAATACTCCCTATAGAGAGAATGTAGATCCATTCAGAAACACGATTTATTGGGAAAGGCGCATAAACTCAAATACTAAATGCACTGTGCCAAGTAGAAGAATAGAGAAATTGACAGAGAAATACAGAGGAGAGAGATGAGGGGAAGGAAGGAAAGAACACTCTAGAAGCTTGGGGTGGGGGGGAGCACAAAAGGGCATATTTAAGAGATCATTAGATCAGCCATTGCAATTGACTACCCATAGGTTGGGTAATATTTATAACTCGAGATATTTATCACAAAGTCCAGAGTTCCGGTCGTCTGGAGAGATCTGGCAACACTTGACTGGGGCTGGGAGAAGAGTCTTGAGTAGGCAACAGTTCCCCATTCTCTCAGCCTGCTTCATCGATTTAAGGTACTTATTTGTCCTCTGTAGGCAACTGAGTTTTATTGAACCCAGGGCTGGGATTAGAATGAGGCGAGTAAGGCAGGAATTCGGGGGAAGTGGTTTGGATTTTTTTTTTTTAATACTGTATTAAAAAATGATTGATCTTCAGTTTTCTTGTGCTCCCATAAATTTTGCACCGAGGCTAGTGTCTCACTCGCCTGATTCTAACCTCTGAGCAGCTTGGGTTTGATTTAACCTATCTATACATGGTAAGCAGCAGCATAGGCAAGATCGGATCAGATCCGCGTTTGGGGGCACTTAAGTTCCCACGCTCCAAATCCCGCCCCTGCACTCACAGCCTCTCAGGTTCCCACTTCTAACACCCGCATTTCGATTTCATATCCTGACTCCCTCTTTTGCTCCTAAACCACTGACGGTCCCCTCTCCTTTTCCATCCAAGAGAGCTCACCCAAGGCCCCAAGCACCTGCCTCCCCGGGCGCATCCTCCACCTGCGCTCAGCACAGCCGTTTCCTGCATCCTTCCAGGCCCAAGAGTCGCTTCCGACACCATCGCTCTGCTCCAACAGGGCGGAGCTTCCTCATTGACGCGATCAACATTCGGCTAGTGCTGCCTCGCCCCGGCGACCGTCCAGCGGGAGGCGGAGCGAGTCCAAAATGGCGGCTCTCAGGCTGGCGCGCTCCGTGCTGCTGGCGCTTTGAGGTGGTCGCCAGGGGTCGGGGGGACGATTTCCCCGCCGCGGGGGCCCTAGAGGATGAATCGAGGGCTCTGCTAAGGTTAGGCGGTGGGGGTGGAGAGAGTGGCAGCAAGGGCTGCGGTGGAGTCCACGGAGCGGGATGTGCGAGAGTTACTCCAGGTCGTTGTTGAGGGTCTCGGTGGCGCAGATCTGCCAGGCGCTGGGCTGGGACTCGGTGCAACTCAGCGCCTGCCACCTCCTCACGGACGTGCTGCAGCGCTATCTGCAGCAGTTGGGACGGGGCTGCCATCGGTACTCTGAGCTGTGTGAGTACCGGGCTGGGTGCGGGAGGGCTGCCTCTGGCCAGTCACGAGTGACACCTCCGGTCTTCCCTTCTCTATCTCACCGTCTCCAAGGTGTTCGTCCTCTACCCCTACCCCGAGATCGGGCATTTTCTCGCCCTCTGACGTCCCTCGGGTTCCACTGCCCCTGGAAACTCCAGTCATCCCTTTGGTGCCTCTTCCTCATCCACTAACTTCCCGCCTCCAGCCGGGACCCCTGTCTCCGCTCTCAGCTCCACACCCTCTCACGTCTTCTCATCGGAAATATGCATCGGTCTTTCTCATCATCTCATTTTTGCTGCGTGTAGAACCACCTCCAGAATGCCTTGCAGCCTCTTTTACTTTGGTCCTTTTCCTCCCTTGCCTGCAAACTACTACAACTAGTTGTCACAGGCGCTCCGTCTACCGGCCGTTTCTTACAAGGCTAGCCATTCTTCAGCTCATAACAACACATACTCGTTGACAGCTCTGCTCCGTTGGGGACACTGCCTCTTCTTTCTGTATCTGTTCATTTCATAGACAGTATCTCTATTTACTCTTTCCCAAGGCCAACTTTGTCAGTTTCACTTAGATTAACTTTCACTTACATCCCCGTTACTCATTGATTTCCTCCTTGATATTTTCATATCAGTGTTTATAAAAGTGTAATAGAGGGAACATAGGCAATTTACAAGGGTCCCCAGGTAGTCTGGGCTGCAGTACTTGGTTTTTAAGTGAGTGTCCAGTAGTATCTATAGCTGATGGCATTTAATAATTCGGAATACTTAATAGAAACCACACAGCATCCCACTGATGTGAAGTAAGTGTGTGTGTGTCTATGTGTCTGTATGGGGGAACTGCCATTCATTGAAATTTCAGGTCGTTACTCTTAAGGTGGGTAAGCTGGAGAACTGGGTAAAGTGTTTCATAAGATACTTTGCTTCCTTGAAGTGGATCCTAGACTGGAAAATTGAGACCCACAGATACACTTTACTTCTTGAGCCCCCAATTCCATTCCTGCTTCGACAGTGCTGCCAAAGTAATTTGTTCATAAACATATTTGATCGTGTCATTCTTAAAAATATTTTAATTTGTACACCATTGCTTGCAGGCTGAACATCTCAACTCTTCAACAGCATATTTTCTTTGTGAGCTTTTTCTTACTCCTGCTGTTCTGATTGCAGCCATGCTGAACTACCTGCCTTATCCAAAACATTTTAAACTATCCATTCCTATACACATGGGGTTTCCTAGAGTATCCCTCACCCCCTGGTGCACCGGTGGTACTACTTCTGTTTTGAAATTCACTTATCACTTGATTTGGGAAACTCATATGTCATCTGTTCTCCTAATTCTGCACATATTCCTGTATGTAACACCTTGTTTTGTAATCATCTGTGTCTGTTTCTCACCCTTTCCTTTTCTTCTCCCTAGGCGACAAATTTATTATATTTGTATTCTGTAACCTAGTACGGTGCTATCATTTACTAGGCACCCAGGAGATATTTGCTGAAGAAATGAATGAACTAATAACCTACTACCATAATAGCTGTTTAGTCACTTGACTTTTTGAGTTCCAAAATGTGGTATTTTTTGAATGCTTGATTTCACTGATCCTTCTAATCTAAATATGGCACTGCAAAGTAACTCTCATTCATTGTTATCTTGAAAGTACACCACCAGCACACTGTTCTCTTGGCTTTTGCTTCTTTTCCTTCCCTCTCCCTTTTCATGGTCCTTGAGTATACTGTTGCGGTTATGCATAGTCCAGATTATATTTTTGCTACCAAGTTCCCTAAATAAGGACAGATGTTCTGTATTTTTAGGTAATGAAAATATCCCCTGAATACATAGTTACCTTTCCTGCCTTATACACAGAACAGTGCTGGCACTGCAAGTAACCAGGTATTCCAAAGTCATCAAGTAATCATTGTTATGTGTTAATGTTAATCCCTTTTCTAATTACCCAATTTTGGCAGCCAGTTTTCTTGCTTTTAGTGAGAATGTGATTATCAGGTTCATTATTCTCCATCATAGTTTTGTGACTTATTAAAAATGCCGATTCCTGGTATACTTACTAGTTACAGACTTTTTTTAGGTTCTTTTTTTTATACTATCCTAGTTTTAAACTCAGATTTTGATCTCAGGTTACCACTGTGCAGTCTTGTATTCTCCTTCTTTAAATCCTCTTTGTCTTTTTGACAGCATTCACTGAGCACCACTGAGAACTGAGCAGTGGGGCCCCTGGGTGGCACAGTTGGTTAAGCGGCCAACTCTTGATTTTGGCTCAGTCATGATCTCGGGGTCATGAAGTCAAGTCCAGTGTTGGGCTCTGCACTCAGTGCACTCAGTGAGAGTCTACTTGAGATTCTCTCTCTCTCTCTCTGCCCTTCCCCCTGCTCATGCTCTAAATAAATAAATAAATAAAATCTAAGAAAAAAAGAACTGAGCACTGTGTTGGAGACATCAACGTCCTAAGGCACAGTCCCTGCCCACAAGTTGTGGACAAAGGTGCAGACTGTCAACAAAATAAACTGATGATGTTTGCTCCTTTTAAAAAAATTGCTCTCAAGTTAAAGCAAGTATCAGAAGTTGCTATTAATTCAACAAATGATGCATTTTTAAATTTCTCTAAGGTAATGATTTGTGAAAGCATTCAGGGCAGATATTTCTCGCTGTGTCGTATTATGTATTAAATATGTGTGCGTGCACCGAAAGTAGGTGCTAAATATTTCAGAATGACTCTTTAAGACTAGTACTTGTGACTTAATAATTGCATGATATAGGCAGTAAATGCAAAAGGAAGCAGGTAAAGGAAGATGACTGTGGGCTGGGGCAGGATGACTTCACAGGAAAGATGAAATTTGAGTTGAGCTGTGAAGCCTGCCTATATAGAGGTGGGAGTGGACGCCAGGCTAGAGAAAAGCATCACCTATGATACCCAAGTAGGACTGAGTGTGATGAAAGTACCAGTGAGGTGGCCAACTTGACATATGTGGCCAGTTCATTAGGAAGGTGTTACAGGAACATGTGAAATCAGATTTGGGAGGGACGTAGAGGAAATGAAAGCATGGTCAGAAACACTGCATGCTTCTAAGGAGGGAAACAGTATGATGAAAGTGATATCTTAAGAAAATTGTGCTCCCGCTGAGTGCAGGAGAGACTCAAGTGAGGATACCTGGAAACTGACTAGGAGAGTGATGGTAGGAAGAGAGGGAAAGAAAATGTTCTGAAATCTGTGGCCAGAAATGGACAGGAAGAGGGGAGAACCAGGGGTCTTGCGTTGAAATTGCAAAGCATATGCAGGAATTCAAGATGATCATTTATTCTGGACTGAGAGAATACTACTGCTTTTCCTAGGAATAGAAGAGTTGAAATGCGTATCTACATCATTAAGAGGAAGAATGAATATCCATTTTATTTATCCCTGCTATTTTATACATCATGGAAGTAACCCCTACTTGTAGCAAAATTGAGAGACTACAGAAATGTTTGAAGTTACAAGTGAGAGTCTTCTGCTTCCTTCCCTCTGCACTGCAGCTTTCAGCCCCTTAAACTGTTAACAGTTGGATGTATATCCTTCCAGAACTTTTTTATGTGGGTGTGAGCAAGCGTGTGTCTAATTTTTATAAACTTTGGGTTATTTTCATTTTACAGCATGATTTAATTTCAGACATACTGAGTTTGAAGTGAAGTGATTTCAGTTAAAAAAAACAAACAAACAAAAAACACCACTTTTGTAAAGAGAATCTTGCCTTAACTTTGTATCTTTCTATCTCTGTCCATTTTGTATGGTGTCTTCTAATGACATTTAAAATTTGCACATAGATTATCTTTCTGATCTAAGTGTTTTCTGTAAATTTTCTGGGATTTAAAAAATTGATTCAGTGCCGGGGCGCCTGGGTGGCTCAGTTGGTTAAACGACTGCCTTCGGCTCAGGTCATGATCCTGGAGTCCTGGGATCGAGTCCCGCATCGGGCTCCCTGCTCAGCAGGGAGTCTGCTTCTCCCTCTGACCCTCCTTCCTCTCATGCTGTTTCTCATTCTCTCTCTCTCAAATAAATAAATAAAAAATCTTTAAAAAAAAAAAATTGATTCAGTGCCATACAGTTGTCTCCCCTCATCCACGGGGGATACATTCCAAGACCCACCCCCCAGTGGATGCCTAAAACCACGAATAGTACCGAACCCCAAATATTCTGTGTTTTCTCCTGTACAGAGCTATGATGAAGTTTAATTTATAAATTTAGGCACATTAAAAGAGTAACAACAATAGCGAATAATAAACAGAACAGTTATAACAGCATATTGTAATAAAAGTTAAGTGAATGATCACTTTTTCTCTGTCTCAGAATATCTTAATGTGCTCACTCGCCCTTGTGATGATGTGAAATGACAAAATTCCTACGTGATGAGATGAAGTGAGGTGAATGACGTAGGCATTGTGACATAGGGTTAGGCTACTGCTGACCCTCCAAGTCTGCTGCTTCACCGCGTTAACTGTGGGTAACCGAAACCAGACAGAGTGAAATCTGGGATGGCGGAGAGGAAGTACTAGAGTTCATTCAAAAAATATTTATTGAGTGCCAGCTGTATGCCAGCCACAGTTTTAGGTTCCAGAGATGCATCATTGAACAATGGTGAAAATGGAATGGACATTTACTTAGCACAGCATTCTAGTCATTTGATAAAAAACAGCAGTAGTAATATTTACTGGGCATTGGGGTGCCTGGGTGGCTCAGTCGTTAAGCGTCTGCCTTCAGCTCAGGTCATGATCCCAGGGTCCTGGGATCGAGCCCCGCATCGGGCTCCCTGCTCCGTGGGAAGCCTGCTTCTCCCTCTCCCACTCCCCCTGCTTGTGTTCCCTCTCTCGCTGTGTCTCTCTCTCTGAAATAAATAAATAAAAAATCTTAAAAAAAAATATTTACTGGGCATTTACATTTGGTCCGTCACTGTTCGTCTGTAAACTACTTCTGAAATTTATTCGGTACTAGCTGATTGTTAGTGTGAATTGTCTGGTTGTCAGATCGTATTTCAAATTGACTTCAGGAATCAGCATTCTAATATTTAAACAGTATGCTCTTTCATTTAAAATCTATTAAATTCTTTCCAATAACTCAGTCTTAAGTATGTATAGTATATTTGATTCTGAGCTACCTATGAACCCAGTACTTCTTAATATTTTAAAAAGTATTCATGGAATTTTCTTAAAGTAATTTACTTGGCTTTTGACTTTGTTTCAGATGGCCGAACAGACCCAATTTTGGATGATGTTGGTGAAGCTTTCCAGCTTATGGGGGTTAGCCTTCATGAACTAGAAGACTATATTCACAATATTGAACCTGTGACTTTCCCACATCAAATTCCTTCATTTCCTGTTAGTAAGAACAATGTCCTCCAATTTCCTCAACCTGGAAGTAAAGATGCAGAGGAAAGAAAAGAGTACATTCCTGATTACATGCCACCCATTGTGTCTTCACAAGAAGGTTTGTGAGTTTTTTGTTTGTTTCTTACTCATACATTTGTAACTATTTTAATGCGTTTATAATCTTCATTTTCCTGAGTGAATTGTATAAAATGCTATGCCAATGTATAAATTCTAGAAATGCAATCAAGATGTTTTAATGTTGTTTACAAATTAGTCTAACCCTTTAGCCAACACCTTTGCGCTGGCATCACTAGGCAGAGCCATGGCACAGTCAAGGTTATGTCTGATGAAGCATCTGTTTCCTTTCTGAATTTTCAGTAGGGGAGAACAGAATGTGACCACAGAGAGAAGGCTTTCAAGAGATGTATTATATGGGAACAGAATATTAAATAAATTAGAAAATCTTTGCAACATAAAGGAAAACCGGGGTCGCTCTTTTCCTCTCCTTCTTATTGTCAATGTGAGTCGGATGATACTGGGAACAGAGAGTGAGTAAATATTCACTAGTGTTATGCAAATTTATCTCCACTTTTTAGTGATGAGTAGAAATGTTTATTGTTTGGCCAAACAGAATTTTTGATTAAAAAATAATAGCTAATCAGGCACAGTCATCAATCACTGCAGAGGTCCTTCCTCCCTGCATGATTTTACATGCTGATCATTTAAGTTCACTAAGGCTCTTAAGAGATACATAGTAATTTGTGATCTCTCATGCAGGTACACAATATTTTTCCTTGTAAAAATGGAAAAGTTGCAATTCATTTCCTCTTTACCTTTATATTTGCACCATTTTACCTTCCACCAGCAATGCTTCAAGGTTCCAGTTTCTTGTTATTCATTTCTTATAATCTCCTGTTCCACTTTAATAGCATCTTGGAGTGCTCCCCATTTGTTTCATGGACTAGCTTTAGACTTGGAATAGTTGTACAATCTGTGTGTAGGTTGCCCCATTTGAAAAACTGACCCTACGTGGTAGAGACTTATCGTGGGTTGGTGTATCTTCCTTAGACAGTTTGGATCTTGGGTGCAGGAGGCCCTCCCAGAGAGTGCTGGTGCTGTCGTAAATGGGTTGAGGACGCAGTACTTGCTGGTAGCTGTATACATATGGAAATTTAGATAGGTAAGTATCCTAGTTTTCTGCGTTGAGTGGCTTGGGAAGTTGACTTTGCTTGTCAGCTCAGCACTTCTCCACTGCAGGGTCTTGGGGATTTAATACTGATGGATGCAGGAATTCGTATCACCAAGTGCTTCCCACAGAGTGTGCCTTTGGTCAATGTTCTTGAACTGAGTGAGATGCTATTTATAAGGTCTTGTTTACGGAAGTTCGTTGTTTCTCCTCCTTTCCAGGCCGACGTTTATATTACTAACAGTAGGACTTGGAAATCTGCAGATGTAGCTCAGTCATCCCAGCTTCCCATAGTACCTGCTTAAAATTCTGTCTCCTCCTCACCATTGACTTTTTTTGTGTCTGTTGCCTGTATTATCAGGAAATCTTACCCTTCATAGCCCCCATGTAAGGTCTATCTCTGTAAATGTCAGCGTCTTTGACTTTAGAAACCTATATTTGTTACAACTTTCTAAACACGTATTTGTTTACTTTAAAAATATAACCAATGTATTGCAGTATCAACATTATCAAAGGAGGGTTGATAATGGGCAGAGGCCTGGCTAGTAGCTGGATTGCAGAGAATTCCATTTTCTGTTATAGACAGGTCACGAATATCAAGCAGGCCTGGAATTTTCTTCTTCGCTGTTGTCACTCAATATGATTTATTAAGCATCCTAGACATCTTTATGAAAGCAGTGCTAAGTTAGCCCATGATACGATCTCTTATGCTTTAAGAGTAATCTTTGAGTGGCTCTGAAATTTTTGGCTGAAAGGCCACTTAAAAGGACAAGAAACACAAAATTTGGAATTGTGCTAAGAAAGCCTAAGTGGTAATCCAGTGCTGGGAGAGACCTTAAGGTGTTATACAGGAGGAAACTGAGGGAGCCACGCTAGTGTAAATAACTGGCACATCAGCAAGCCTCTGGATGATGGGTGATGATGAGTTTGATATCAGTGAATTAGCGGTAAGTTTCACCAACCAGGACTTCTGTGCATTATCAATTGGCATGTTTTTGAACCAAAACTACTATCTTCTCCATTTATAACATTTTAGTCCATTTTCTCTGTGCCTTTTGGAGCTTTCTCAATCTGTTTTGTGGTTTACGTATCTGTCTCCTCTTCTACCTCCTATTTAATAAATTGCGTAATTTTTTTTTCTGGCCTTTTAAAAAATCTGGACTCAGATGGACATTTGATTAATCTTAACCCGTGATTCATGCACAAGCTCATCATTGGTCCATGCATAACCTGCATTTATTCACTTAGAGAGTTTATTGAATCATTTTTAATAATCTAATAAGCCCTACCAAGCTCACTACTGAAAACTTAAGTTCGGGGCTTTGATAATCATCAACACTTAACCACTTAGTCCCTCTCGTTTTATTTTTATAGCATGCAAATGATACACAAGGAAATTCATGGTTAGCATTTGTAAATACTGCCACAGAAATGTAATTAAGGTATCAGTAAAGGAGTCTGAAAAACAGTTCAGGGATTTTAATACTGACTTCAGTCTGAAATTGCTACAGTAAATTTTTGAGTCACTCTTCTGAATTATTTGAAGTAGAATCTTATTTCATTTGAAGTTTTAGGCAATATAAATTACAAACATTGTGGAAAGGAAAATAACATAAGCCTTGAACACTCCTTTTTTCAGCTAACAGTTACAGATTCTCTCAGGAGCAGAAATATTGCTGATTCATAAGGTATGCATATGGTTCCTAAGGATGCAATAAGTGATAGTACAGTAAGATGCTTATCAGTCCGATTCCTCCTATTCAGGGAAAAGGATATCAAATGCAGTCCTGTGGTTACCATTTTTTAATATAGTCTCCCAAGTCAATTTAATACATCATTTACAATCTGAAATCTTTTTTTTTCCCCCACGGGTACAGCATGTTAGAAAGTTCCTAGTATTCTGGTTAGTGGTGCAGAGCGTGGTACAGATGTGCACACCTGTGATAGTCAGGCTTGTTCACCAACTTCTTTATTTTCCTTTTATTTCCTTAAGAGCCACAGACAGGGCTAGACTTTGGTTATAAAATATAATTAGCAAAGTATGGTCATGAGACTACCCACTTCTCGATCCTTCAGCTTGGCTCGTGTCAGGAAGGCATGGGAATGTCTCGTCTGCTTGCAGCACTGTGAGCAAGCACTCTGCTGAGGGTATAGGAACAGGCGGTCGTAGAGGCAACATGGGCCCCGTGGAGCCACTCAGGCATGACTCAACGGGTTATTGAGTTTATCGTCTGACCAACTTGCTTTGCCTTTCTTTTTTTTTTTTTTTTTTTAAAGATTTTACCTATTTATTTGACAGAGAGAGACACAGCGAGAGAGGGAACACAAGCAGGGGGAGTGGGAGAGGGAGAAGCAGGCTCCCCACGGAGCAGGGAGCCGATCCCAGGACCCTGGGATCATGACCTGAGCCGAAGGCAGACGCTTAAGGACTGAGCCACCCAGGCGCCCCCTTGCTTTGCCTTTCTGAACTTCATATGCATCATCTCTAAGAGGTTTAGTAATACCTACCACATGGATGTCCGTGAGGCATAGGTGAGAGGGTTTTGTGAGACATTTGTGTAGAATCTTACAGCGCTTCACACATAAGACACAGAACAGTGAATGTTCGTTCTCTTCCCATTTCACCGTCCTCACTCTCAAGGAATTTACTTTTCAGTTGAAATAGCATATACATTTGTGAAGTAACTCTACAAGGAGAATAAATCCAGAACGGTGGTGATCATAGGCTTAGGGGCTGAGGGATGCACACCTAATAGCTGGGCTGGAGTAGATGGTTGACTGAGGAGCCGTGTGACTCTCCGCGGCACAGGGGTGACTCAGGAGATGACACGGAAGGAATATTTGCCTGTTGTATCCAGTTGTATGTTTAGAAATGAGACCTCCCTGAAAATGTCTTGTAAATGCACATTTTGCATAGACTGTTCCAGTTCTGATGGCTGGCACCCGGTGTGTTTTATCCAAGAACATTCTCTCCTCAGCTTGCCATACGTATTTTCAGATTCACATGAGTAACATATTTTTTGCTCCCTGTTTTGTTGTGCTGAAGAATGTCTGCAAATAGCATATTATGCCACAGTCATGGTTGGGTTCTGAGACTGGTCACTGGATCGCTGGTGTGTGAGAGTCTTCTAGGTGGTCTCTTGATTGGTCCAAGCTATCTGTGTGAGAACAAGAGAAATAGAAGCCATTTGCTTGGCTTTACTTACTATAAGAAACTTACCCACCTTGGTGGCGCCTGGGTGGCTCAGTCGTTAAGCGTCTGCCTTCGGCTCAGGTCATGATCCCAGGGTCCTGGGATCGAGCCCCACATCAGGCTCCCTGCTCAGTGGGAAGCCTGCTTCTCCCTCTCCCCCTCCCCCTGCTTGTGTTCTCTCTCTCGCTGTTTATCTCTCCCTGTCAAATAAATAAAAACAAAATCTTAAAAAAAAAAAAAAAAGAAACTTACCCACCTCAACTTGCACTTGGTAGAGATACTGTGATGTTTTGGGTTTCTTTTTTTTTTTTTAATTTCTAAATAGACTTTATTCTTTAAAATAGTTTTAGCTTTACCTAAAACTTGAGAAGGTAAATACAGAGTTCCCTTATATGCTGTACCCAGTTTCCCCTATTATTAATCTTACATTATGCTACATTCATTATAATCAACGAACCATTATTAACTAAAATCCATTATCTTTAGTGTTTACCTAATGTCCTTTTTAGGTTCCAGGATCCCACCCAGGATGCTGATTATTTTATTGTCATGTCTTCTTGGCTCTTGTGGGCTGTGACTTTCTCAGACTTCCCTTGTTTTCGATGACCTTGATAGTTTTAGTTATAGAATGCCCCTCTCCTGGAATTGGATCAGATGGGGGTTACTAGTGTTGGGGAGGAAGGCCACAGAGGGAAAGCTCCACGGTCCTCACGTCGTATCGGGGTGCGCACTGTGAACA